AGAGAGAGAGAGAGAGAGAGAGAGAGAGAGAGAGAGAGAGAGAGAGATGATGCAATTATTTATATGCAGAGTTGCTATTTTAATTCACTGGTGCTATAAGGAATAGGGTGAAACCAAAAGATCAACAGATAAATTATTGAATATAGTCTCCTGTAATTGTTTCGTTTTCAAGTATTTTCTGACAGCCCAAATTTATGTACATAAAAGTATTAATACATTTATTTGTATATATAATAGATACAAATAAACAAATATGGGTTTCTAAGCAAAGTTTTAAGTATAAGATTGCCACTTTAAGTTATTTTCTGTCTTCCAATATTTTAGGAGTTTTTTTTCCCAATTTTTTGCTAACAATAAGAAGAAAGTTATTCGTTTGTTTTCCTATTTTCGTAGGGTAGAGGTAGATACCACAAACCATATTTTATTTCTGTAGTATAGTTTTGTAAGAACAAAAGTACATACAATTTCAAAACAGTCAAACTAACATAATTATATATAATTGCACTTCAGTAAAAATTGGATAGCAAAAAAGCAGACATTCATGGGCCAATTTCTGCAAAGTTTTCATTGTAAGTTTTCTGGAGAATCAGTGTTCCAAAACAAAGCAATTTCACCTAAAAGAATAATCCTCTATTTCTAAACTTCAAGTTTGACTGATGTGCTACAGATTTTCAATTGGAAATCATAACCTAAATCAACCCCTAAATCAACACAGGTGCTACTGCCAGCAGAGACAAGAAGCGTATTCTTAAGATAGTCAAGAATGCCAGCAAGGACTGTGATGTTGATGCTATTATACATCTTGGTACAAATAATCTGTCCCAGAAGGATGTACTTTCAGTTCAGAAAGACTTCCAGAGCTTGGAGTATGAACTTAGTAATATGGACTGTAGGCTTATCTTTTCAGAGGTTCTACCAGTATACAAGGATATCTTCAATATCTTCATTAATGACTTAGATGAAGGAATAGAATGGGAACTTTGCATCCCTGGACACATGCAAACCCAAACTGGATCTGTTGGAAAGAATTGATACCATTGAAACCATAGTAGCATCCCTGGACGCCATAAAAGAAAGAATATCCAACCTTGAAAAAAAAGAAACAACGCAAAAACTTGAACTTCCAATAGCTACAAACCACATCTCTACCCAACAACCACAACCCAATCCAAAACCCAATCCACAAATAAACACAACCCAGACAAATATTGATATCCCAATCCTCATCAGAGAAGCTGTTGAGCGTGAACGGAAACGTCCAAACGCCATCTTATTTGGTCTAGAGGTCACCAATAACAATGATGACATCACAACTGTCCGAAACATCATCAGGGATTATCAAGCATCAACCATCTCCGCTGATGAAATACTTGACATTTCACGCATTGGCCGAGAGCTCAATAACAGTGACGGC